AGTCTACTACAAAAGAATTGTGGGATAAGTTAGAAGCAAGATATATGAATGAAGATGCAACAAGTAAGAAGTTTTTGGTGACTAGATGGAATAATTATAAAATGATTGATAACAAATCAGTCATGGAACAATTTAGAGAAATTGAAAAGTTATTGAATAGTTTCAAGCAATATGATATGAAGATGGATGAATCCATAGTTGTGTCTTCAATAATTTATAAACTTCCTCAAGCATGGAAAGATTTCAAGAGAACACTAAAACATAAAAAGGAAGATATTTCTTTTGAAAATCTTGCTAACTCTTTGAGACTTGAAGAGCAAAATAGAGCAGAAAATGAAAAGGAGCTGAAAGTGCAAGTTTCGGATGTCCATGTATTAGAGGAAGGAACTTCAAGCTAGCCCAAAAAGCCTTTCAAGAAGGAGTACTCTGGCAAGCAAAATAAAAAATTTAAGAAGCAAAAGGGTGCATGTTTGCATTGGGGAAAAACTGGACACTTCAAAAGGGAGAGTTATTTTCTCAAGAAGAAAAGGAATGCACCAGCATTATCATATGAAAAATTCATTGCTGTGATTTCTGAAATTAATCTCATGGAAGATGACATTGCTTGGTGGATAGATTCTAGTGCTACAAGGCATGTTTGCAAGGACAAAAGTCTATTCAAGACTTAAAAACCAGAACCTGAAGGGAGTGTGCTGTATGTGGGAAATTCTGCAGCAGTACAAGTGAAAGGCAAAGAAACCGTGGACCTTGAGTTCACTTTTGGAAAAGTTCTCACTCTCACTAATGTGCATTATGTGCCGAATATTCAACAAGTTTGTTGAACAAATTTGGTTTTAAACTTGTATTTGAGGCAGATAAATTTATTCTGTATAAGGGTGGGATTTTTGTAGGAAAAGGCTATGCTTGTGAGGGCATGTTCAAGATGAACATTAATAATAATACTAATAATAAGGGTGTTATTTCTGCTTATATTCTTGACTCATTTAATTTATGGTATCATAGATTAGGACATGTTAATTTCAGGAAGATGCATGAGATGTCTAAATTAGAATTAATTCTTACCTTGCCTAAAAATGAATCACAATGCAAGACATGTATGCTTACTAAGATTACTAGAATTCCTTTTCCTAAAATTGAAAGAGTTTCTAAATTGCTTGATCTTGTGCATAGTGATGTTTGTGACATGCACGGTACTCCTACTATTGGTGGCAAGAAATATTATATTACTTTTATTGATGATTATTCAAAATTCTGTTATGTTTACTTGTTAAATACAAAAGATGAAGCAATGAAAAAATTCAAAGTTTATCGAGTAGAAGTGGAATTATAAAGTGAGACATTTATCAAATGTCTAAGAACTAATAGAGGTAGAGAATATTATGATCCATCTTACTTTGAATCCATTGGAATTATCCATGAGATAATAGCCCCATACACACCACAACAAAATGGTGTGATAGAACGTAAGAATAGAGTTTTAACTGAAATGGTGAATGCCATGTTATCAAATTCTAGTTTAAGTCCAGGTTTTTGGGGTGAAGCATTGCTAATAACATGCCATATATTGAATAGGGTGCCTACTAAAAAAGGCCAAGTTATCCCATATGAACTTTGGAAGAAAAGAAAACCAAACCTTAACTATTTAAGAGTTTGGGGTTGTAGAGCAATTGTAAGGGTACCTGAACCCAAAAGGAGAAAGTTAGGTGAAAGAGGAATTGAATGTATATTTTTGGGGTATGCAAAAAATAATAAGGCATACCGGTTTATGGTCATTGAACCAGATGATTCAATTAATATCAATACTATAATTGAGTCAAGAGATGTTATCTTTGAAGAGAGCAGATTTAATTCAATTCCTAGACCTAAAGAAACAATTGCTGAAAATTCAGAACAAAGAATAGAAGACAACTTGCAAGAAAACAAGTTGAAAGAAACCATTGAAGTTAGAAGAAGCAAAAGAGCTAGAAAAGCAAGAACATATAGTCCAGAATTTCACATGTTTCTTATTGAAGAAACAAGATTTTATTATAATATAGAAGCTGATCCTGTGACATTTGAAGAAGCAATTAAGTCACAAGATTCAGCTTTTTGGAAGGAAGCCATAGATGAGAAAATGAATTCCATAATGGAGAATAACAAATGGATTTTAGTAGATCTGCCACCAGGTTGCAAACCTATAAGTTGCAAATGGATTTTAAAAAAGAAACTGGAAGTTGATGGCACAATAGACAAACTCAAGGTTATGAAAGAAAATGCATAATCCATTAGACCTCCATTGCACCCGTTGTTGTATGTGGTGTCACAGTCGATAAGCTCTTGCTCCGATAGCTCCGTTAAGGTTCCGGTGACAATCTGGTCTATCCCCTCCACAGCAGCCACCGTTGAAAACGCCCAACAACTGCCGCAAGACCCCTGGTTCTTCACACGAGTAACCCCTC